TAACACAATTATAATAATTATATAAAATACAAATATAAAATAGAAATCTATTACCTCAATTTTTAGACTACTAAATAATTTAATAAATATCACTGTCGGACGTAAAAATAATTTATTAATGTCTATGAAATATAATATTTCAAAATATCGATATTTGAAATTTCGAAAATATAATTTCAATAAATTTATTTAATTAAATTTACTTTTAATGGTTTAAAACTAGTACTTCTAGTAGTAGACTATACAATCACTATTGACTGGATAATTAAAATTAAATTTTAACTAATATTAAAACCATTTTCACTTATAATATACTTATTTTGTGATTGAATTACATTAATTTTAAAAATAAAATATTAGTAAAATAGTTATGCCATAAAATATGAATTTTCTAAATATAAAATTAAATTACAGATACTTCGCGATTGTTTACCCCTTTGAGCGCTTAATATCATTTGAAAAGCACACAAAGTCTGTGATCGCAATCATTTGGATAATCGGTGAGAAATGTTATTATTTTGCGAAATATTATTCATTATTGAAATTATTATTCATTATGTAATGGCTTTCGTTACAACTCATTGATAAAATAGTTACTGTATAATAAATTCATTTAAACCAACCCTATTCATTTATCATAGACCTGTGAATTAATAGCATGAAACAAACGATATCATTTATATGCTCAGACTAAATTAACATAAATTTATATTAAATTTTATATATTATTATTTATAAACAAGCGCATTTTAGTATGATATTTGGTGTAACTGTTATGAAAATACAATATCACTTTTAAATATACTGTACAGTATTTATTTGAATATAAACTATATAATTTCGTAAACCTAAAAAGTTATTAGGTTACATTTATGAGATTATATTATTTTATATAAAAAATAAAAGTCATTTAAATATATCATTTATTACAACAAAATATATTTTCGTATTCAGTAAATATTATATAACATTTTGTACAAAATATCCATTAAGTTTGAATAGCGATGACATGCTAGAAAAGAAATAAATAAAGTAATATTATTAAATAATTAATAGAATTAAATAAATAAATGCTATATTTCTATACAATTTTATATTTAACAAAATAATTAGTTTCTGAATTTTCTTAATTAATATTCTATTACGTGAATACCACATATTAGTATTTTATAATGTTAACTAGCTCTTACAATATTAATTTTATAAAATAATTTCTAATTTTGTTCAATTATATAAGAGTTTAAAATAAGAATTTATAAATAGATGTTATTCCAGTAAATATAATGAATTTAATAACTAAAAATATTGACATAATTTGTATTTATACAATTTTCAATTTGGTATCTTTACAAATGTTTGAAATAATAGATTTAAATATTGTATATTGTATATTTTGTATTCAATACTATTCATGTATTGCAAATTTACTATTGACATTTATTTTTATTTTGTTTTAACTATTAAGATATATTCATATAATGGTTTATTATTTACATAAAAAAACATAAGTAAATATTAATTGTTTTTATGTCTAAATTTTCACAAATGTATTTGCATTGACATAAAATAGAAACTAATATACAATCAGTATATACTTTATATACTAGTTTATAATAGTAAAATATAGATTTAAATTATAAACTAAAATTATAAAAAAGATTTAATTTTTATAAAAAAAATCTGGTAAGAGATTCGGATGACTTAGCGAATTAGAAATAATCTATGAAATTAATTAATTCAAAATAAATTTGTAAAATTAACCCGATTAAATCAAATTAACAAATTTATAAATTTTGTATAATCGTATTATGTGAACCAATTAACGCCATATTAAACAAAACTAATTATCATTCATTACTCTAAGTCCCAATAGACTTGTTATTTAAGGTATAAATGTTTAATTGCAAATTCTCAGTACAGTATTTGTATTTTTTAGCTTAATTATTATGTTTTAATAGTATAGTAGCTTTCAAAACAAATAAAAATTTAATTAATGTTAGCAACACAATAGATATTTTACTACTGAACTATTTTTAAAACATAATCCCATAAAATGACACGTTTAATCTTTATGGACAAAATAAATAAATAATTGTATTTAAACTTAATTTAGTTTTAGATAAAAATATCAAATATTTGTTATGAAATGTACTGTATTTGCTAAACACAGGAATCGGTTTGAGTAGCCCTCAGCTCATACAGAGCCGGGCCGTGGAGTTCACGTACAGGAATGAGATATTATATGATTGTCGTGAGCTGTGGGACCAGGAATTAGGCGGAAAGGTCTACACGGCGTTGATATTCATATCCACATTCATTATACCGATGTTTGCGCTCAGCTTTCTCTACATCTCGATCGGGGTGACCAGCGCTCGGCATACAGTGCCCGGCAATTCCAATGGCGATCACGTCCAGCAACACAACAGAGTTAAGGTCTGTGTCCATAGTTTACTATTTATGGTTTCCCACCAATAAGTGCATCGCCTATGTGTTTGGCGTACTAAACAAATCTATGTACACAACGGTATATTAAAATAAAAACACCTCGACCCTAATTAAATTATGTGTTTAATTAAACTATGTTATTAAACAGATCGTCAAAATGTTGGTGATTCTGGTCATCTCGTTCGCCGTGTGTTGGCTACCCATACAGGCGTTCAATTTGGTGATGTGGTTGTGCGACAGCTGCCGAACCCTTTCATCGCAATTCCAAGTAATTCATTGCATTTGCTTTTGTTTTTGTTGTTGTTTTCACCGATCAATTAACGAGACCGCAACCCTAATGAGATTAACTTTTAAAGGCCTGTATAATTAGAAATTACATATTAATGAAACGTGAGATTAAATTTATGGGGTTTTCAATAGAGATTTTGCAATTTCTTATTGAAATATCAATTCTTAATAAATCTCAGTGATCTAGCTGCTTGATACTGAAAATTTAATTAGCCCACAGATATAGTAATTATATAATTAGCATATATATTAAGAACAAAAAAATAATAATATTATAAATAATATACTACTCTTCTCTATTTCTAACTTATTATTGATACTGTAGTAAATTAATTTGTTGAATACTGATCCAGATCAAAATCTACGTGGCCATATACTTCACGTGTCATTTCCTATCAATGGCTCACGCGTTGATCGACCCAATCATATACTGCTTTATGTCTCACAACTTCAAAGTAAGTCTATTTCGGTGTCTATTTGTTTAACATCTTATTTTCATTGAGTTATTTTCGTTGTCTTAGATTTTTATTGTTGTTTTGTATCCAAACGAGTAATTGTTTTACTATCGTAGGAGTTAATGCGAAAAATAAAAACCCTTTTGTTATTTGTTTTTGATTTAAACGCCGATGAATTTGATTGACTTATTATGTTAGCAAAGAGACAATCCTCTCAGTAGACAATAAATTATTTTGGATACAGTACACTTTTATTAAATTATAAATAAATCGTTTTTATTATTTGTTGTTAATAAAATTATATTTTAATTATAAGTAATTATTGTTTGACTGACATGACAATTATTTTGAAAATTATCTATGTCCTATATGAGAATTATTTGTCTAGTTATATTAATAATAAATACCAAATATTATTTGAGTAGTTAACTTTAATAAATAAATGTTTTAATATTGTTTTATACCTTTTATGAAAAATTTTATTAAAACTTAATTTAAGAATATATTTATTATATAGTATAAGAAATATAAATTTTGAAATTTTAATTTGTTATATCGAAAAATAAGTAGAAATCGATCATAATATAAAATTAATAGCAATATAATTTCATTCGTAACTTTACAAAATATTTTTATGTAATGTGAGCTAAAAATATTTCTCGGTAATAAGTTGTAGGTTTAAATCTCAGAATTGAGCAACCTTTGTATATTACATAATGGTTACAATTTTATAGCAATTCTATAGGGATTTCAACAAAATTTTTCACTTGTAAAATATAATAAGATTCTAAAATAATACAGAATTCAAGTGAATTTGGATCATATACTCAATATTGAGATTTCGTTATAACAGATTTATTAGGTTATCAATTCATAACTACACTATAAGTTGATGTCAAATGTAAATCGTTTGGATTCTTACTTTATAGTGTTATAAATATAATACAAGCATTCATTCAATTGTTAAGGACATTTGCTTATCACACGTGTTTAATCATTATACAAGTACTTATATTTTCTATTACATTCACAAATAAGTCTGAAATGCTAATTTTCTTATGCAAACATAAATCTTTATTTTTTATTATGTCTATACAATATTTATTAGTGATATGACTAGATTCATCAATTATTCAATCAAAATGCCGCCTTTCTATGATTGGAGATATCCAAATTGAAAATTTTGTTTTTTATACATGGTAAAAACTACTCTGTAATACTGCACCTTTAATAGTTTTACCTTTTTTGGCAGGATTTTAAAATAGATAATCTTTTATATAAATATTTGTTTTTATTGTAATTTTACATTATAACTTTTTTGAACATGATCGGATAAATATAGTACCAATGTACTTATTTTTGTTGATAACAAATAAAAATAAATGATGTTACCTTTCTTTATTTAGTATGAATTGAGTTACAATCGAAATGTTTTGTGACATTCAATGTCCGCTAATGTCATATAATTATAGACATTAACCCATAGTTTTTTATTTCATACCTTTTTATCAATAGGACTAACTTTTATTTGAATTAAATATGTCTAGTACAATCACCAAAGTAAAAAAGTGTTATTCTTGAAAATTGATGCACATAATGACCTAAAATATTTGTTACTTTGATAAAATGAGATATAATAAAGTATTTTATTAAAAATAGTCTACCATTACTTCAATAGTTCTCAGGTCTCATAAGTTAATGATTATAACATACAATATGTCAATTAATTTTATATATACAAAATTAATAAAACTAATAATAAATTAATAATTATTATTTTTATAAATATAAGAGTGCCGTGAATGCCAAACTTAAATATTACATGTAAAACATATTAATGGTTATTTATGTGTAAATGTTATTCATTTTATAAGTGAAAAATCTTTGTCTTTTGTCATATTACTACTAAATAATTAATTAACTTAATTTTAAACCTAAATTTTGTAGAGTATAATCAATTTATATGTTTAAACTATTTTCTAGCTGGATCAGTTACGCTCATTTGTGTACAATACTTGTGCGGACAAACAGAACCCGAAGAGATATAACATGAAGATTAGATCCACTATTAAAACCACATTGAATTCAAGCACTCAATTGAATTCAACGGCTAATAATAATATATGTGAAATGGCAGTTTGAATTAATTATACAATATAATTATTTCATAACTACAAAAAATTAAATGTGTTTTGTCACTTATGTACACATTATAAAATAAGGAAAACACCATAAAGAATCCGTTAATTAAGTAATGATTTAAATAATATTGTAAAGTCAATTAAAATGTTATACAATATTTATATTCTATATAAGACATGATAGAGATATTTGATTGATATCACAGTTAACCATTACAATTGGTTACGTATAACTGCAATGTGTTCATTCGGTCCCAATCTCGACATTATACAGTAGTTATCGACCAAAACCTTTTGTCATGTTTTATTACATTTATAATTGCTGTAAAATTTAACTTGTGATGAAATCTTTTCCCAAATACTCTCAATTTATTATCAAAACATTTTAACCTTAAAATAACTTATTCTACTAACTTATATGAAAATAAATTCTATATATTTAAACAAATAAAATTTTAAAATATATAAATAATCTAGTATTTATATTTGGTGTTGAATATTTTTGATATGTTTTTTGTACACAAAAATACATAATTAAAAAATTCTTGTAATTCTTTGATTAAAGGAATACAAAATACTAAGGTTTCCCAATTAAAGTAATTATTTTAATTACTATAATGTACATTTAATTATTAGTTTTGCATAATTTCGTGACATGTTTTTCCTATAAAGAATTTTTTGTTTGTACATTCTTGATGTTAAAAAACTAACAAACAATCAGAATATTTATTTAAAACACATATTTAATTTACTTTCAACTTATTGTTTGCTTTAAAATATGAGATTATTTTAAAGGTAATACATTTTCAATTACATTTTATAATTATATATAATAATTTAAATTGTATTTTCAACCAAAGAATAAGAATTGAAATTAAATGGAAATTATGATATTTCTATTTACTTTATTTTAAATTAACTGAAATAACAATTATAAAGTATTTGTTATTATTTTGTATTTATTTATGTGTTTCCATTGTAAATATAAATTATATGTATACAATAATTGAAATTTTATACATAAATTATTGAATATTGAATGTCAAATAAATAAAATAAAGATATTTATATTGGATTCTAAATTATATTTAAAAAATAATATAAAACTAATTTTATTTATATTAAACATTTTCACTTTTTCTATTAGCAATCTTAAATAATAATTATAATTATATGGTGTTATATTTCTATTATAAGTTATAATGTTATAATTTATAACATTAATTTCCTTCATATTTACTGAATATAGTGACTAACCAATCAATTTTAACCCAATTTTGATTGCAAATAAAAACAAAAATACTCTCTCTCACTCACTCACTCTCTCTCGACAGCGAAGTAAGAAAAACAAAACATTTTAATAAATACATCAAAAAGTTGAATAATGTGAATTCAATTGATTTTCAATGAAAGTGTTATTTAAATGATTTATGCATAACGTAAATAAACCCGAAATTATATGTTAGGATTTATAAAAGATATCTCAATCATTGGCAATCATATATTTGGGGACTGCCTTTAAGTTAAAGTTTGACGATTCAATAAATAGCTTAAGGCTTTAATTTGTAGCTTATTTATATTATGATAAATGAATCGGTCTAAAATAATGAAGTATTAGTTTACTGTTTATTTGCTTAAATCAAATTATCTATTAAAATGTTTGTCCGTTACATAAATATATTAATAATAACGATATGTATTTATGAGACTATAAATGGGTTGAGAGTGAAAATACCTACAATTTTTGGGCGACGAATTCAAAACAATAACAGCACCCTATTGTCCACCCTTTTCAACAACGGAATAGTACCCGATGTCATCGACTCCATCCCTTTCCATTTAGTTCAGGTATGTGGTCATCAACAAAAGTTACGTAAAATCATGTGTATAATACTGGCCCTCAGATCCACTACCCGAGTGGTGTTGAAGTGAATTTGGGTAACGAATTGACCCCAAAGTCAGTGAAAGATGAGCCGTCAGTTGACTGGCCGGTAGAAGAGGGCGCTTACTATACACTCGTGATGACTGATCCGGACGTGCCGTCGAGGACAGAGCCCTCAGCCGATTCTCAGGTCAAACACTGGCTGGTCGTCAATATACCCGAAAATCAAGTGTTAAAAGGAGAATCACTGGCCGTTTACAGAGGCTCTGGTCCTCCATTAGGTTCAGGTCTTCACAGATATGTGTTTCTCGTGTATAAACAGCTGAAGCCTATCACACACTCGGAGACTATATTACCGACTCCGGGTCGGGAGGGAAGGACTGGTTTCAAAGTGAGGGACTTCGCAAAGAAATACAAGTTAGGCGAACCCATTGCCGCCAATTTTTTTGTGGCTCAATATGACGATTATGTTGGCCTCAGGAATATGAGGGCCCAGAATCGGCCCAAACCACAGACCACCACAACAACGGAGCAAACTATGATAGAAATCCCGATTACATCGCAACCTATTGAACAACAAGTTGTTGAGCAACAAGTCATACAACAAGAGGAGGCCCAGGAAGTGATGACTGAGCCTCCCATCAGAAACCGTGTGAGAAGTATGTCCAGAATGAAGGCCAGAAGGGCTCAACTCCAGGATTGGGCCCAAAAAATGCCAAAAACACCCAAATTTCCCCAAATGATCTGTATGAGTTATGATAGATATATGGCTGCAGAGGAGGCGTTGAGTTTAATTAAAAACCGATATTATTAATTGCAAACATTAATTAATCAGGTAACTTGTAGAAATATTTTTTAAAAGTTACCAATTTCAATGTAATTTAAAATAATTTTTTATTTTAATACATTTATAGAATTTATGGAGTTTGGTAGATTATCAAATAAATTACTCAAGTATAATTTTGTAAATTGCAAATTCCTGTATTACAATTATAAAACAAAATATTAATCTTACAAAGTTATTGTGACAATACATAATTTATTTGCATTTAATTAAGTTACTATATGATTTATTAATATAGCTTAGTTACATTACATAAACTATTCTTTATTATAGATGTTAAAATTTAGTTATAAACGTTGAATTTAACTTTCGTTTTTATAAGAAATAAATCTAATTAGAAAATATTATTTCAAATTAATTTTAGCATTAATTTTTACATACAGTATATCAAAAATATTATACTTTTAACATTTATATTGTAAAATATAATTTACTACTTATACATGTGTTAGACAACAAATCGACAGCTATTACCAAAGGATTAAAGATAAAACAACAATAAAAATAACTTTTTCTTATTATTGAAACCAAACGACAAATGGATATTTTTAAGCACAAGGCTTTCAAATGTTTTACTTGTTTTATCACTTCATTTGTTTTTCTAATCTTTTAATGCCCTTCAAAATTAATTCTAAATTTGTGTATTAGTTATCCATTTATTCTCATAAAAAAGTTGAATAAAATTTATTAATACTTACCATTTGATAAGTAATTATTTAGTACAATCATGGTGTAAATGTCGATTAAAAATATTTAATAAATACACTGTTTATTTATCGAAAAAGATATAAATTTAATCAACAGTCTTAGATATTTTGTGGTTAAAGTAGTTTATCAGACATACGTTTACTTTTTAATCTTTTTTCTCTTATATAACATATGGACTTCAATATAATGTTTGTTTCATGGGTTGTACTCTATATTAATGTACTCTTCATTATAAATATAAATCATTCAAAAGGCTGTAGTTTTGGTGAAAGACACCACAAATTTAATCGACGCTTTCGTAACTAGACTGAAGTCAGTGATGGACAGACATAATGTAGTTCCCGGTGTTATTGATACCGTTCCCACCAACGTAATCAAGGTACAGTATAAACTGACGTAATATAGGCATCCTAATAATTACTAAATTAATAAGTTTCTATACTTAAGATTCATTATCCGAGTGGTGTTGACGTGAATTTAGGCAATGAGTTGTCACCCCTTTCCGTCAAAGACGAGCCTACAGTGGAATGGAGTACAGAGGAGGGCGCCTACTATACCCTCGCGATGACAGACCCCGACGCCGGACAGAGGGCTGAGATTAAGCACTGGCTGGTCGTCAATATCCCGGGCAGTGATGTGTCGAAAGGCGAAACACTGGCCAACTATAGAGGTTCGGCGCCACCGGCAGAGGGTGCGCCTCATAGATACATATTCCTCGTATACAAACAACCGGGTCATCTGAAACACTCGGAAACTCCATTGCCTAAGGATTCAGGGGAAGGGCGAGGATATTTCAAAGTCAAAGAGTTTGCTAAGAAATATAACCTGGGTGAACCATATGCCGGAAATTTATACCTGGCTAAGGGGGACGAATACTCGGCACAAATTAGAGCTCAGTTAGGACTTCCCAAGTAATTCATACTAAAATCAGTGTCGAGTGAATTTGTTAGTGTTTTGTTATGTCTAATATGATTGATAAAAATTTTATAATTATTTTTAATATAAAATATTGATTTTTATTAAAATAAAACATTTATCAATTTGTTGGCGATTAAAAATGTTAATATTTATTTGATGATACATTACGTACAGTAGATGTAAAATTGTTACCTGTACAGTACATACATTACCGGATTTGTAATATAACAGTAGTTATAGTTTGCTATTGTATTTTATTGTATGGACATTATATAACAGTAAATTTAACTGAAAAGGTGTTTCAATACTTGTAAATATACTGATTGGACATTGATTGCAAACTAAAGTCTAGACTTGTACACTTCTACTAAAACTATAAGTACTGTATGAATATAATAATTGAAAAACACATTTTATAAATAAACATCAATTCACTGATAACCATAAGGTTGAATGCAATAGTTATGGAGCAAAACAAAATTGTTCCTGATGTGATTGACACCATTCCCCAAAACATAATTCAGGTATTTATTAAAATATAATTTTTGAATAAAAAGTTTATTTTAATTCAACTATTTTAATCGAGAGGTTCACTACCCGAGTGGTGTTGACGTGAATATGGGTAATGAATTGACACCCCTTTCCGTCAAAGACGAGCCGACCGTCCAATGGAGTGCA